AATAATAAGTAAGCTTAGGATCAGGGGTTGAAAAAGCCAGGGGTGGAAAATTTTTTTGTGTTGAGAGTTTTGCAGAACATTTTCCAGAAAATATTTCAACATTTTGAGAGAACTCTGTTTACTCAACTTACAAGTTACACTACTGTTCTACTTTATTTACACTGTACACGAGCTAACATCGGCATCCTTTTAAATAGTTGACAGAAATTAATTCACCCCTGCCATCACAATGAGGTAAAATGGTAACAAATAAAAGTGATTGTAACAAAAAACGCCATCAGAGTGCACCTTTCAGAATGTTGGTCGGTCTACAGTGTATTTCATGAGTGTCGAAAACGAGAATCGAACCTACAATCTCAAAGGTGAAAGGCCTCACTCGCGTTGACATATTGCCAGGGCTTGAAATAACGTTCCCAAAGTTCCCGATCATGGTGACCGGCAGTCCGCTTTTCCGCCGATCATAAGCAACTTCTTGCCGATCATTGATCGGTGATCGGCTGTTATTTCAAGCCCTGTATTGCTATGTTTTACAGATCGCAGCAGAAGTAGCGGCGCCATTGAGTGGTTGTAATAAGATCGTGATGGTCTCCAATGGCCAGGGTGATGTTGGGGCCAGTAAGCTTACTGGGGAAATTCTAGACATCGTTGCCAGGTTACCAAAGGCTGTCGAATCATTGACTGGTGTGGATATTAGTAAGGTATGTTAACATTCTTTTATTCCAGTTTTATTGGAATCTAAACAGTTCTTTCTGGAGGTCCAGTGAGAGTCATTCTGAATTGTTCCCGTTTTACTACTGGAGAAAAACCCATGGCGAGGAAGAAACCTTAACTACGCACGTAAAATCAGGATGTGTTCGCACTGCTTGTTCCCAGTTGTTGTGACAAGTCTGCAACAAGTTGTTATCACCTTGTTGCAAGGTTGATGACGGTAACAGACTTGCTACAAATTATTCCAACAAGACTATACGCGTAAAATCTCACATCTTGTATAGCAAGTGTGCCAACAAGTCGTCAACAAGTTGTGTTCGCACTGCTTGTACCAAGTTGTCAACAAGTTGCTAACAACTTGTAACAACCTTGTTGATATTATCAGACTTGTTACAAAGTTGTTCCAACAAGTCCGATATAGTCATGATATAACAATATTGTTACAACCTTGTGTGGACAACGTTGTAACATTCTTGTTATATCATGACTGTATGAAACTTGTTAGAACAACCTTGTAACAAGTCTGATAATGCCATCAAGCTTGTTACAAGTTCTTAACAGCTTGTTTCAAACTTGTTAACAACTTGGAACACGCAGTGCGAACACAACTTATTGACGGCTTGTTAGCAAACTTGCTACACACGTAAAAACACACAGGTCTGCAAATAAGTTGTTACAAATCTGTCGACAAGTTGTCTTCGCACTGCTTGTTCCTAGTTGTTGTAACAAGTTTGGAACAAGCTGTTAACAACTTGTAACAATTAGCTTGATGGCATTATCAGACTTGTTACAAGGCTGTTCTAACAAGTCTGATACAGTCATGATATAACAAGAATGTTACAAGGTTGACGACACAAGGTTGTAACAATATTGTTATATCATATCAGCACTTGCAACAAGTCATATAACGTCAACAAGGTTGTTACAAGTTGTTAACGGTTCGTTCTAAACTTGTTGACATCTTGGGACAAGCAGTGCGAACACAATTTGTTGATGGCTTGTTTGCAGACTTGCTGATTTGAGATTTTTGCGTGTGTACATCAATTGCAGTTATAAAATCCTGGCCCCAGAGCACATGCATTAAGCAGTGTCACAGCAAAATCCAAAAGCCAAAACGGTTCTTTTTAGACCCCGACTAGAGCGAAAGTTTTTGGATTCATCACGAAACCGGAACGTTTTAGTACTGGATTCATGTTGTCGTTTACACACGCAGCGACGAATCCGATAGTAAATTTTCTCGGTTTTGTGTCATGTCCGGAAACTTTGAATCCGGAAAAGTTTGTGGGAACTTCGTATCCGGAAACATTTGAATCCGGGGCAAAACTCTCGTGTAAACGGCTTTCCGTACTCTCGTGTAAACGGCTTTCCGTAAAGAATCTGAATCAATTTTCGGTGTATGTTTTTCAAATTTATTGCTATTCAATTCAACCGTCAAACAGGGTCAAAACATCGCATAATATCACTAAAGAGGGTTAAAATTATTTACTTTATATTGACCATCGCTGTGTCGGGTTGTGTAGTGTAAACGCCCCACGGATCCGTATACTTGAAAAACAAGTAATCTGGATACTTTTACAAATCCGGAAACTTTTGCTCTGGTGTGAACGTAGTCTTAGTAATATAATTTTATTTCTAGGCCCTACAACGATCAGTTGGAACAACACGCTAATGTGGGACACACCTCATGAACATGTTTTAAATAATAAGAAATATTTGTTGATTCTATGATTATAAACAAATGTATTTAACAGTTATCCTAATTCCTAATGCTCTTGTTAGCTAGCTTTGATCAACTTGCTTTTACATATAATGTCGATAATATGTATAAATTGAAGATAGAAGTTAGTCTGCCTACCTTGGAAAAATAATTTTAATTCTACTAAAAACTGCGCGAGCACCCCCGGCTTAAACTGAAAAGGACCCCCTGGCCCTGCCCATTCGATTTGTTGACGGGGGGAGGGGAAGATGTAAAACTTTACTTTGTCCACTGTCCGGGAAAAACTGTTAAGGCCCATTTCCACTCAGGAAAATTTTCCGCGGAAAGAAAAATTTGTAAAATGTGATTGGCCGACACAAATTTTCCGAGGAAAGAAAAATTTGCAAAATGCGATTGGCCGACACAAATTTTCCGTCGGAAAAATATTTTGAAGTTGAAAATTTTCAACTTTTAACAATGATATTTTCGGGAAATTTTCTGTCCATGGAGATTATTCTTGAGTGGAAATGGGCCTATAAATGTCCGACCATGTTTTGTCTTGGCCGAACATTTGTCTTTCCAAGTAAAATAATTATTTGCAGGCTTGTCATTGTACCAAAAGCAGATGATTGGTTAATGCCTAAAAATAAAATATAAGTGAAATAAAAGTCGCAATACAGTACTATTCTGGGTTTCTTAGTAAAAAATACTTATAGAGCATTTGCACTCATTCCCCATGTTGGTGTATTGGAACACCAACATGGCGGCTGTGACGTCATTGCAAACGCTTTATATACAATACTGGTGGAAGGAGACACAGATTTACAAACACACATACAGACACAACTAACACGTGAACACGAGTCTCGAGGCGTCCTCGCGGGAGAGTGTTAGGCGCGAGGTTTAAATTCTTCAAATTACGGACATGGCAGCCATTTTGTGCAAGTCAAGCTGACTTCGGAATTAAAAGATGGTGTTTAAAGCTTATCAGATAGGGAATTTTATCTTGAAGGTATAGGTATGTTATGTAGTTTTTGATAACTATACTTTGTACGTGGGATGTCCTATAGTTTTAAAATGCTTTTAGTTTTATTTCGAGCAGATAGGAGCGAATGGTCGCAATTAAACCAGATTATTAACTTTGGGTTAAAATTTAACCCACCATGTTGGTTTGTGTATTTCTAGAAGCATGTCCGTTTATTACCTATGCAAAATTCCTACTGTGATCACAGAAACTTTAATGGTGTAAACATGGATAATAAAATAAATTTTATTTTATTATCCATGGTGTAAATCAGCTTTAAGGCAGACAAGATGTCGATCAAAACCACAAATTGATAAAGCTTACAGAGATTTGCCCATAGATATCTTATATACACTAGATAGCACATCTCTTTTAGTAAAATTGAAACCAAGAATATTCCAGCGGTTACCCCCATTTGAATAGATGGCGGCCATGTTGGAGTTTCTCACTCGTTAATAAACGCTTAAAAAACAACAATAACTTCCATCATTTGAGTAGTGTGAAAATGTATTTGAAATAGGTTTAACTTGATGTTTAAGTTCCCTGTTTAAGAAATAGAAAACATACGAGTCTCCTCATTTGATGGGAATATCCTGAGTCTGCAATCACGGCTTCAATTTTTGAATTGCAGAATGATTATATGCACTATCTAGTGTATATGAGATATCTATGGATTTGCCCTCCAATATGGCTGCCGTGACGTCACAGTTTTAAATTTTTGAATGTATCACTGATGATGCAGCCTTTCAGAATGTTGTACTATAAAATTCCGATGAAATTTTGTGCATGCTGCTTAACAACGTTGTAGTCATTCTTGACTTCTTTGAAACAAAGCCAATTTTAATTTGGCCTCCTTATTTGGCATTCGTAATAAAGTAGTGATTACACTATCAAAGTTTCTGTGATCACAGTAGGAATTTTGCATAGGTAAATTCTAAGTTTTGAAGGATTTGTAAGAAATGTTGGAGGAAACTGACTCAGTGTTAAAGTGCCTATATCACTTGTGGGACTTTTATGGATTTCAAAAGAGATTTTAATAAGTTCAAAAGATTTTTTTGATTTACTGCAATAGTTTCGAGGATATAGGCCTTAAAACAACGTGCTGTTCCTGAGTCTAGGACTGTTCGGTATACCGATATACCGAAAATATCGGTATTAAATCTCGGTATATCGATAATATCGGTATATCGATACCGGATATTCAACCATACCGATATACCGAAATTTCGGATATACCGGAATTTTTCGGTATACCGTGTTTAATTTACCAACTATATGGTGAAACCATAACCTTTATTTTACTACTGAATGGCAATTCAAAGAACTTTCTATTGCAATGATTTAGAATTTCCCCTTCAGTGAGATTTTACACTGAGTACGTGCATGTCGTTCGAAACAGCTTCGAAATTATCGTTTTCCCTTTTAGAATTACTCAAAATTTCCTTCAAACTTCCATTAAAGAATTTTCCTTTATAATTATCAAAGGAAAACCGGTATACCGATAATATCGGTATAATTTTTTCGGTATACCTATACCGGAAATTTCTCATACCGAACATTCCTACCTGAGTCCCAGCCTCCTGGAGTCTAAATACGGCTATTGAATTTGGCCTTTTTCCAAACTGTCCATTGTGCATAGGAGCCTGGGACTCAGGAACTGCAGGTAGTTTAGATACCTGTATCTTCGAAATTATTGCACTAAATCAAAAAAATCTTTTGAGCTTATTAACTAACTTTTCACGCTCTTTTCAAATCCATAAAGGTCCCACAAGTGATATAGGCACTTTAAACAATGATCCAGTTCCCTCAAATTTCTTACAAATCCTTAGAATTTACCCATGAAAAATTCCTACTTTGATCACAGAAACTTTGATAGTGTAAACCATTACGCTTTAAGCCCTCTGATACGGTGGAATGAAAGAAAGATATAGGTTCTAAAATGTTATATTTGCTTTGTTTATGCACCCATGAAACAGCTATTTACAACTCAACAACATGTTGGTTCACACTTTGCACCAATGAATACTAAGTCCTCTTTCGCTGTTTCCTTCTGTCGATGGATGTCTTATGTTTCTTTTTTGAAAATTGATTGTCTAATTTCGGTCGTTTCTTGCTGATAAAGCTTGGTTTTGTGGGTCCTTTTCGTTTCCTTTTATTCAGCTGCTTTCCCCTTGATTTCCCAGAGAATAGGTCTAAAAACACAAGATTTCATTTGATGGATGTCTGGTATAAAAAACGTCCGTCTTCACTGCACGGGAAATAAATACTTAACAATATCACAAAAGCCTTGGACAAACAAGAAAACGTTGTTTCCTGGCTGTGTTTCCTGAAGGTAGGCAAACCAGGAAACATTGTTTCTACATTTGAGGAAACAGCAATTTTCAAGTGTTTGGCACTCTCTATGACTAATGACTATTATGCTCACCAATGATCTATCATTCACGAAACGGCCATGATATTAACCATTGTTGTATAGACAAAGACTTCGTCATTACTTTCTCAAATTCATTAATAAATCATGAGCAATTCAGCCAATGATAATCACCTATTTGATCACAAGATGCCATTTGGATAACCCGGTGAAACTTGATGAAAGTCACTAGTGTTTTCATCAAATATCTTAATTACGCATGCAAAGTTACTTGAATAGAATTCCTAATTACATTATGCTTGCTTAAGAATTCTATTCAAATCAGCAAACGAACACATTCTGTTACGTCTCCATTCATTTGAGAAGCCATGTAAACAACTCGAGCTCGTGTCTCACCGGGACACTCGCTCTCGTTGTTCATATATTACATCTCATTTTGTCTCAATTTTATTTTTGTTTTTGTAATTGCCTTTCCAAATAAAATTGAATTTGATAAGGAAATTGCCATTTCTCTTGCACCCCCTCGTGGCAAGGCTATAGGAGGGTGTGTACACCCCCAGTAAATACATCCTGCTTACAACTGAAGTCATACACTCCATACAGTAACATCAACACGTCCTACCTTCATCAGGATCTTCCCCAACCTCTTCTTTATACCACCGTACATCGTCATCTTCGCTGTCATCTTTACCTGCATTTTCGTTGCCTTCGTCAGCACTACTTGCATCTATAAAGTACACAACAGTCCGTTCATTTTTCATCCCTTAAGAGTACGTTATGTGAAGAAAGTGTCTGTAGAGTAGAATGCAGCTGACCCAGGGCTCAAAATAACGGCCGGTCAACGGACAATGACGGGCTAAAAATGCCTCTTGACCGGTCACTTTTTTACATCACCGGTCATTTTGACCGGCCACATTTTCATGCCTTCCAATGTGATTGCTGAAGTCTTGAATTAAATCATGAAACTATGATGTATCGAAACAAGTTTCTAATAGTTTGCCTCACTGCTAATATAAGCATATCAATGACCGGTCAAAAACAGATTTTGACCGAGCTAAAAGTCGACCGGAGACCTATCTCCCGCTATTTTGAGCCCTGAGTCCGCACTGAAATTTCTCTGCGACAAATTTTTAGATAACACGGCTCTAGAGGTATCTGAAATTTGCAGGAAATATTGCCCCGCATAACATGGCCGTAACATGTTGAGCAAAAGAGCTCATCTACGATGTATGGTCCCGGCTTGACCAGTCCAAACCAATGGACCAAACACTCTGATACTGATTTTAGGAGTTTCCTCTATAAGGCGAGACTATTTTACTTATCACAGGAATCAAACCTGCGACCCTGCGATTCCGGTGCAGCGCTCTAACCAACCTGAGATCAGGCTCTATTTTACAAATAATATCCTGACACAATCCTTAATCCGATCGCTTTCCACCCACAGCAAAGTTTATATTTAGTATCCAATCAAAATGTCAGAGAAATTTAAATTTTACACAACGACAACAACAATCTAATTAAAGTTGTGATCACTATAAATATAACAACAATAGTATAATCTAATTAGCACCAACCAATCAAATGACAGATTAAAAATTTTTTGTCTCAAACCAATCGGATTTACAACCGAAATATGGTTGTAAAAACATGGACTTTTGTTAAGGTTTGTATCAGGCCTATTTATTTATTTATAGGCCTGACCGCAGGTTACGCTCTAACCAACTGAGCTACAGCGGTTAGAGCTCGACAATTGGTCTCTGTAGCTCAGTTGGTTAGAGTGCTGCACCGGAATCGTAGAGCCGAAGGATCGATTCCTGCCAGAAGGCCTATATAGTATAGTTGCATTTTTCACAACTGTTCCTGTTTAGATCTAACATATGTGTAGACGCCCAAAATCCTAAGAGAATCATAGCCCAGAATATGCAAGTGAAAAAGGTTACCTTCATCTTCGTTATCAGATGGTTCAGTTTCTTCAGTTTCTCCTTTCTGTTTCTTCAGCTGCCCAGCTATACTGCGGGCTCTACATCAATACAAAGCCAGTGAGACTGATATTCACAGTTGCACATTGATTTACATGGAATTTCTTTATATAAATCCTAATTTAATGATATCATGCTCCATTGGCGGCGGAACAGGGGGGGCCAGGGGGGCTAAAGCCCCCCCCAGAAGTAAAAGTGGGGGGGGGGCTAAGCCCCCCCAGAAAATTTTGTTTTCTCTGGAAAAATTTAGATAATTAAGGAAAAATGTAGGTTATTTTTGGAAAATTTAGGTATAAGGGGAAAAATTTGGGATATTTTGTGTAAAAATCGAGTATGTCCAAAAAAATTTTTTGTTATAGGTCCGGAAAAATTTTTTTCATCCCTTTTCTTGTATATGTCCGGAAAAATTTTTCTACCCCTAAAATGGTACACTGACCGAAATTTTTTTGGCGACGGGGGGGAGGTCACGGAAAAAATTTAGCCCCCCCAAACTGAAATCCGTTCCGCCGCCCCTGTCATGCTCGTAGTTATGAAGTTTTGTATTTACTTGTTGAGCTCCTTTTCTTTTTCTTTCTTTTTCACATTTTCCTCTTGCTGTTTTTTCCGCTGCTCTTTCAGTTTCCTGACGAAAAATAATTTATGAATTTGGTTGCACACGATAAACTTGTCAGTGTCATTATTTTACAGCGATAGAAAACAGCCTACCGTTTCGCTTCTCTTTCCTTCTTCAGTAACTTGACTTCTGCTTTAGTTTTTTGTACTTTAAAACATATTGAGCAAATGATTAAAATCAAGTCTCAACACAGGCTTTTTTTAAAATTTTGACACAAACCAGTCGCAGCTAATGGAGTAAGATATAATTACCAAATTCATGAAAGAGGACTTCTCCTGTACACATCCCTTCTTCAATTTTGATAAGTTGTAAGGACATTTGTGGGCCGAGCTGGGAAAATACAACAAAATACCGGTAGCTTAAAGCTCATTTGCACTCAGGAAAATTTTCCGCAGAAAGAAAATTTTGTAAAACGTGATTGGCCGATACAAATTTTCCGTCGGAAAAATTTTGAAGTTGAAAATTTTCAACTTTTAACAATGATGTTTTCGGAACATTTTCTTGAGCGGAAATGGGTCTTTATTTCCACTAACAAGTGACATGAACAACGCGTTAAAAAACAATAACTTTCATCATTTGAATAGTTTGAAAATGTATTTGGAATAGGTTTAACTTAATGTTTAAGATCCCTGTTTAAGAAATAGAAAACATACGAGTTTTCTCATTGGGCTACTATTCCAAAGGTCGTAGGTTCGATTCCCACTGTGGCCAGGCATATTTTTCAAGCTTGCCCGGTGTGGATACACACTCAGAGTAACATCACAAGCATCTACCTCAGTAAGTTTCACAGAACTTTTCTCAGATTTAATATTGCCTCGTCCTGGGAGGTCTTGTGGTAAAGTCACGTGACTATCAGCTGGGTCTTCCGCTTCACTTTCTGACCCATAACCACCTGCGGCCCTAGGAAGACAGAAAAAACAAAACATTTTGTCATTCTTCTCCAAAGTCATCGACGCAAACACTTTTCCTGCGAGTTTCAATTTCCTTTACAAAAGGGTTCGTTTTGCCACTGCAGATTAAGTTAATAACCAAATTCCCATGGCCGTAATACCCAAATTGCTTGTTCCGAAATAAACCTACCTTTCAATGTACTCACTGACGTCATCAAACTTCGCCATATTTGGAACTTTGGCCTGAAGTAGCTTTCTTACACCTTTACTCATACCAACTGGAGCAACATCAATCTGACTGCAGAATGAAGAACGGAAACTCTTTATAATGAACAAATTACGAAAATCATATTATTTAAACTTAATTTCAGCAATTACAGTAGCTCCTTGAGCTTATGCTATACGCGGGGCTTCGGTGGCTAAGTGTCCAGAGCACCTGCCTTTCACCTCTTAGGTCCCGAGTTCGATTCGCAGTGAAGAACTTTCCCAATGTGACTCGAATCCGGTCCTCATGCGAAAAAAGAGTAAAAGTCAAAACGCCCTGCCGAAAGTCGTGGGTTTTTTCCGGGCACACCGGTTTCCTCCCACAGGAAAAGTTGACAGGGTCAGGGTGGGCCAAACACATAGGTCAGGGGGCAGATCATTAATGAGGTATGGACTATTAGCGGCTGCTTAAAGCGCCATTTGTAGGCTCACAGTTTACAGGTACCTCGGTCTGTTTCACGTCAGTTCCGGTTCTGTCTATCTATTCACAACGCAACCAGTCACTAATAGGGAGTGTGCTGTGCAATGTCTGTATCTGTACGTAAAGGCCGACTTGCAATTTTTGCTGCGATGTCTAGTGCGACTTTCTTCTTCTGATGCATGTGAACAAGTAGATGAGTTATGAATGTTCTGAGTATATGTAATTATGTACCTTCGTCTTGAACATTCACAGCTTATTTACTCGTTCACATTCATCAGAGGAAAATCGTACGTAAAATCGCAGCAAAAATTGCAAGTCGGCCTTTACGTACAGATACAGATATTGCACAGCACACTCCCTATTAGTGACTGGTTGCGTTGTGAATAGATAGACAGAACCGGAACTGACGTGAAACAGACCGAGGTACCTGTAAACTGTGAGCCTACAAACGGGCACTAAAAATGCACAAGTCGTTAAAGATCTGCAAACAAGTTGTAACAAGGTTGTTGTCAAGCCGATATCAGGATGTGTTCGCACAGCTTGTTCCCAGTTGTTGTGACAAGTCTGAAACAAGTTGTTATCACCTTGTTACAAGGTTGATGACGGTGACAAACTTGTTACAAGTTGTTCTAATGGCTGGTTTACCCTACCAAAGTTTCTGTGAGCACAGTAGGAAATATGCATATACAGGTAAATTCTAAGTTTTGAAGGATTTGTAAGAATTAACAATGACTCATTTCCCTCAAAAATTTCTTGTAAACAAGTCATTAAAAAGAATTTACCTATGCAAAATCCCTACTGTGATCACAGAAACGTTGATAGTGTAAACCAGTCGTAAAAAGACTAATACAGACTGCTAGTAAACAAGTTGTTACGAATTTGTTTTCATGAACTTGTTACGTGTAAACAATATCAGACTTGTCACGAGTCTGTTGGCCTCATCAATCTGAAGATAACAACTTGTTCCAGACTTGTTAACAATTGGAAACAAGCAGTGCGAACACATCTTGTTGACAAGCTGTGAGACTTTTGCACATGTAGTATTTGTCAGACACAAAGCTTTTATCAACGTACTAGTGTCTAAAATCAATCATGTTGCTATCCTTGTTATAATTCACCAACACACAACGACGAATCCCTGACAGTTTTATCTAAAAACCAAAAAATCAACCATCCATTACATCCTTCCATCTAGCATTAACCATTGAAAATATTAGCAAACAAAAACACATTTCACAAAATAAAATATTTTTGCATAATTATAAACCTTCTGTATGTTTATAGCTGGAAAGAGATTCTGGAACATTGACGTCATCAACTTCATAGGTAATGTGGTCTGATCAAAGTCATTTAAAACCATCTATTAAGGGGAGAGATATAATGAAGTTTAAGCCAAGAAAATAACCATACATTGTCAAATGCTGAATATAATCACATGAAGAGTTCTAACCAGAGGTGAATGCTTGTATTGTGTTCCATACGTTTTCGGCCTTTTCAGCATTGAAATAATCTCGCGTGCCAGAGAAAACTATAAGACAAATATATCAGGAATTACCAGAATGTTTTATTAATTATATTAAGCTGACAAGGGCTCCAGATCTCACCTTGTGAATCTTAAAATGGAGTGTAGGACCTCGCGGTAGCCTCGCAATTCTCTTTAAAACACAAAATTTTAAAAAATTTAAACGGGCTGATAAATATAATTATACAGAACACAAAATTAAAGAAAATTCTTAATTTTACTTTAACTTACCATATAAGAGCCAATTTTTGTTTGGGAAAAAATAATGAAGTGTGTGACACCAAGAGGTCCAGCGACATTAACAAAATCTTTTAAGACATTGTTCTTGCGAACCTACATGATGAAATTCGTAAATTAGAATTAACATATACGAAACACCAGTTTGACCATAAAGAGCATTTTCTTATTGTATATATATTTTTTTTCGCTAAGAACCTAGTATTTGATACCCCAGGGCTTCAAATTTCAATTTTTCAGCAGTATACAACGGGAATTACCAGCAACTTAAAATCTGTATCCACCCAGGAAAAATCTAGTATCCCACATTTGCAAAACATTTTTCGTTCACTGGATAATTTATTTCAATCTTCAACTTGTTCATCAGTTAATATATTTGCCGTGTCTCAGTGGATTTTTTAGTTCGCTCAGTTTATATAATGTATTTTAACATATTTTGAATATGAGTGCATGAAGACGAGCAATTTCAATAGACAGCATGGCATGCAATGTTTGTGTTGATATGATAATTAACTTCAGCCAATCAATTTAATGAATAACATAATTTTTTCAGTATCCGTCGGGATACTGAACTTGCAACTTCCAGTATCCAAATTTAAAATCTGGTATCACCGGGATCACCCTGCTGGCAAAGCCTATGCACCGGGATATCGGGATACTGTGAATTTGAAGCCCTGTACCCTAGTGGAAAATGAGATCGTAGCAGTTAGTTCACCTTTAAATTAATGGCAGTATTAGGCTCCATAACATGCCTAATGTCCATTTCTAGTTGAAGAATTGATTTTCCAATGTCCCCTCGATGCATGACAAATGCTTTAGGAAGATTCTTATTCTCTGCCTCTTCCTTTCCAATCTGTGCTTTTGGTTTACTTTTCTGAAAAAATAAATCTATATTGTTAAGAATAAATGTTACATGTTAGTGTTTAATGTGCATATTTGTTGTTCTTTTTCTCAACTAATATACGAATCAGGGACGTCGCAAAATGATTAACATTGGGGGGATGTCCTTATATTTTGACCAAGTTATGGTGAAGTTCAGAACTCTTTGACCAACTTAGGTTATCTCAGTTCAAGGACGGGTGCAAGCATGCAGTGCAAGGACAGGTGCTAGTGGGGTGGAAACAGCACCGGTGACTGAGCGAGCTTCGGCAGGGGTTTATGCGTCAGGGTTAAAGACTTTCACACAAAATAGGAGGGGTGAAGCAAATTTTGGTGGGGTTGAGCTAATAAGAGGGGTTAGAGAGATTCTAGGGGGTGAACACCTCCCCCTAACCCCCAATAAATCCACTCATGATCTCAGCCACTAATTTAGTGGGGCGCGAGGCAATGATAAACCAAAAAAAATTTCCGTACATTATGCTCTCATTTTCTTTGTTCAATTAATTAATGTACAGTTATTTACCCTTATTTTGTTCACTTTTCCATTATTTTCCAATGCAATACTTTTCTAATTTTGTTAAAACATTTTAAAGTATTTTGACCAAATATTTTCCATTTTGACCAACTTTGTGAACTTAATTAAAAATTAGTGGGGTGGAATGTATGCCACTACTGAATAGAGACTTCAGAAGTCCAACTTCATGTTGGTGTCTTTGATCAGTGGCATAGCCGGGGTTTACAGTGTGTGTGGGGGGGGGAGTGCCAAAAGCATGAACAATATTGGGGGGCAAGGGCATGCTCCCCCAGGAAAATTTTGGTAATCATTGCATGTTTCGGGCACCAATATAGTAAACATTATGTAATGGATATTATAGTGTACTGAAAAGTTAACTGGATACCTCCATGTACACATATATACACACCCTAACCCTAACCTTAAACCTAACCCCTAATACCTAACACCTAACCTATATTGGTGCGTGAAACATGGAAAGATAACCAAAATTTTGAAATTCAGAGGCTATGAAACACTATTTCGTGTATTTTGGGGTGAGATTGCACAAAATTCAGAAGATTATATTCATAAAATACACAAAAATATTACATTTTAAGACTTTGAACTATTTAATTTTAAAGTGAGATTTTACAGGATTCAGAAGATTATAACATTATATAAAATACACAAAAAATAACAGACCTTCCAACTTTGTGGCA